GCTTCCAAAACTAAAATGGGCCTGCTGAATTTTACAATATTTGAGAAATTATCTTTGTGATTCATCTGGAAATAACGCTCAATATGAACAATTATAAAAAGAAGATTGACGGGAGCAAAAACGACGCATGGCGTCATGAAAATAAAAAAAAACTGCCGATTGAAAATATTGATCATACCCCAAACAAGACAGTCTTTCACATATAAAAGTTTTAAATTAAATGGCTTTTAATTTTCAGAATTATAGTTAATTTACTGCACATGTCTTTCAAAAACTCACGAATTGTTACGAAAGCAAATATCCCCTTATTTGGTGTTCTTTCGAGCGCTTTCAATAAACTATGAAATTGCCTTTATTATATTAATAATAATAATTATATCATATTAATTATACCATTTTACCATGAATTCCTTTACCCTGAATAAGAGATAAACAAGCCTTCGGCTAAAAATCTCTCAAATAAAGATTAAAAAAAAACTCTGAATGATCCACTACCACGAATACTCCATTGAAAATCATAACTCAAATTGACCGAAACCCAGCATTTTGAGTGCACTTGATAACCGTACAACACAGTATTAAAAAGATATTAGCCATAAATTCCATCATTTATCACTTTTAATTCTTTAAAACTTTCCTAAGCAAAGACTATTATAGTGCTTGCTATACATCATACAAATTCATGCGTTGGTGGGTTTAGAAAGCTCTCAATTAATAAAAGTGGAAAAAACTAGGACAAGCCAACAGATGAGTAATTTCAAGACAAACTTGTCGAAGACAATATATTATTGTTTTACCGTTCATTATATATTGAGCTATTCACATGATTTACTGAGGAATTGATACAGATATTTTGATAATTTAAAGCTGATGAAGTTTGGTTTCAATAGAATAGGATCGAATTTCTTAGTATACATTCAAAGACTATGAATAGCTAATTGAGTTATTTCCCTTTAAATCCGATTTAATTAAATTAATTAATTAATTTTCATAGATAGGCGTATTTCGTCCACTACTTGTAGATTTCCTCAGTTCCAAGTATTCAAGTAGTACACTGAGCGGTGCATGAGTACGTGGCACTGAAGTAGTGGACTAAATACGCGTATCTGACAGTAGATAAACAATTATAACGGAATTAGAAGAAAATAACTCAACCCACTCAAAAGCTCCTCATCGTTTCATTAATCATGTTACGCATCAAACGAAAGATTAATTAAGACTCTTTTACATTTTTTTTGGGGAACCCACATACTGGGACAAGGCGAGAAAACTTCCAACGTCTACTATTTCTTTGACCGAAACAGAAACTGAAACAATGACTAATCCAATGAATTGTTCACCTTCCCTTGGAATTGTTTAGTGCGATACAATTTTGCATTAATCCGAACGGTACATTGTAGAGCGTGAAAACACTTAAATAAATCCCGCTCTCTACTGCATAATCATACGGCATGATAGCGTAAACATCCCTCCATTTTATGTTAAAAAAATTATGAATACGTTGGATTCCTGAAAAGTATTAAAAATTGTTTAGCCGGCAATGTGAATGGCTGTTCCGACATCTTTCAAGCAAAACTTTTCAATCCGACACAACTGCTTGTAAACAATGACTTCGCATATCGATTTTTCGTAACTCGTAACTCACCCACGCAAACTAACACCACGATCTTGTAGGGGAAATTTTCATATACCTATCTGTTGGTGGTGTTAGTTGGGCGTTTGCGTGAGAAGTAACGACAAATAGACGTTCGAAACCAGTGTTAACAAAAGCAGTTTTTTTTTCCTCTGTTCGGGACCTAACACTACTGACTGCGACCAGTAAATTGATCTATTGTAGTATATCCCGTGTCCTTAGTTTAGTGCATGTCGTATTACTCCATCACTATTGAGAAATGATGAAGTATTCGATTTTTTTACAGTTGTCACTCTTGCATTTATCGTAAGGATCCGACTATTTATACCCTTCGGAGTGTTGAAACACCCTCCAAAGGCGCGCCCCTTTGTCAGTCAAAATTGGATTTCTTAGCAACAAAATTAAGGAATGACACCCATAATGACCACTTCAAACTAGGGAACAACAAATAGAAGATTAGGAATCACATAGACAACTAACTAATTTTTTTCCTTGTTTCAAGATCATCTTCGGTAGACAAAGCCGAGTCTTGTCACTATCAACAAGGCATAAAAAGTAACAAGGACTAAGATGTGTTCCTTGGATTACTGAAAAATTCTGTTCCCCTAGTTTGAAGTAGTCAGGACAAGGAATCGGTGGTAGATCTTACATCCCGTAACGTACCACGAAAAGGTGATCTACTCACGTTACGGGGCAACTTATTATGATGGATGTGTGTTGCTTGGGGCATAACATCTCCTCAAAAACAGTTAATCGTGGTTAGTTGAGTATGACTGCTTTTGTAAACAATAACTTCAATCGCCGATTTCTTGCGAATAAACGCCCTAGCAAACAAACTATACCAACAGGTAGATGCATCCTTCCCCTACCTGAACTCGTTATTTTGATAGGAACTTTTATTCGCAAGAAGCAATTGAAGCCATTGGTTACAGAAGCAGTTGCACTCTAATATTGAGTCGTACTCAATTGTCTTTTCTCAACACTCCATACCAACAGCCTGCAGACCCCATCACGAATACTGAAACATTCTACCTGAACACAACATGATCCAACCAGCACCCAACACATTCAATTTGGAGAAAATACAATCGCCAATCTTTGTTGAAATTCCTACTCAGGTTGAGCAAACAACTTCGGAAGCTCAGCAACCTCCGATTCGTCATACGGATGATGTCAACTCGTCAATTACGGATTCTTTTAGCGTTCTGCTTCCTTCATTGACTCACCTACCAAAAACGCCGAGGTCTTCGTTGCACCAGCCGGGTATAACGTAACCAGGTGCTACGCCGATTTTAGATAACCAACAAACATATGACAGAAAAAAATGAAAATAAATGTTTACATTAGTAAAACATTAATAAAACATCATTAGCCGTACAAGTTTTTAATTACTCCCCACGAAAATGCATAATTTTCTAGATAAAACAGCTGGCTATATAAATCATTTCAAAAGCTCTTTAACAACCTTCTTATTGTGATTTTCTTATTTAGCATTCATAAAAGTCCATAAGAAATGAAATCAAACAATTATACGACATGATCTGTCCAGTAATTTCAGAAAATTAGATGCAGAAATATTGTTTTTAAAAAACATCATTATAGCTTTTACAATACAGAAGAAGATTGTTGTTACTTCTATATAACTTTTATACAACATCTTTGTTTTTATTCGAAAACATGTTTTCTGTGTTACTTGGGATATAAGTTAAATAACAGCATCTTGACATACCTTATACAACACCAATTGTTCAATGTGTTGTGGTTGATTAAATTCTCCAGATTTGTGTGAACATAGCCTGAACAGAAGTTATTATTAAAAATAATGCAAGTATTATTAAGCATGCAGTTGAATAAAATCGTCAAGAAGTTGTTTCTTCAATAGACGATTGTTTGCTGGGATGTTTGTCCTCAACATGTCGCTGTATGAAGAACCAACGGGTTGGGTGAATCGATAGGCAAAATCGCCTATATGAATCTACAGGACATTATTAAGAATCTCCTGTTAAAAAAAGGTGAGCCTCCAAACAAGAAGATGCCGCAATGAGTGGGGAGATAGCCCCCGTTTATCCACGAAATGTTAACAACAGGGAGTAGGCATTCCCTGATGGTCCCTCCCAATCCCAGCATTGTTTGTTATTTGGTGCATAATGAAATTCGAATGTTGTATGAGCAATGAACAATACAATAAAGCAGTTATGTCACATTTATAAATTGTAAATATGAGGTTGGGTCGTCATATTATGCTACTGAAAAATTAGAAATGGTTTTTTCACCGTATCTGATTAGTTTAATTTGTGAATACTGCGGCCAAAGACTAAAATACGACAATCACTTATTGGAGGTGCAGAAGACACTACGACCCGACCTCCTATTAGTGTTACAACAATTTGTGGTAGTAACGAGTTGATAATGATGACTACACACACACACACACATACGGTGTTGCTAATAAAAATTTAGTTTTGATGCTCTGCTTGTCTGTTGACCTTTTTTTTTGCTCGGGAGCACGAGCCAAAAGTGCCATGTACTACCCGACTTCCAAATGCCGATCTACTCTTAGTTTGGCAGCTTTAGGTATTACTTCAAGATTATCTATAAAAATCCTTGAGAAGATGAACTAGCCAACGAGCTAAAAATCTCGCTAATAACGTTAAAAAACAAATTTATAAAAATCCGAGGCTTTCTCAAACGATCTACAATCGAGAGTGCTGCATTTCCCATGGGAATCAGAGCAAACTCAATGTCGCGCTCATTCACCACCACCGGCAAACATTCAACATGATCAAACGGCAAGTGAAGTCTGTTTCCCCTTTGCAAAAGTTCAAGTGTCTCTCAAAATCATCAAATATCCAGCAAACACCCAACACGTCGGTTTACGAGTGCCATTAACCGCTCGCAGACTCTCACGACACCTGAGGCAACCTAATCGACCCCAACATATTTAACCTAGCCTTCACTTGGACACTTTCACGTACAAACACACCACACATAACCTAAAACCGCACAAATTGATGTGTTAAAAACCGTCCTCTCCGTAAGGTGTCCAAGTTCCCATTCGCACCCTCTGCCCTGGCCGAGCCTAGGCAATGGCATTGCATTCGGTGGTGCTCTGTACCCTCAGGGGGGGAACAAAACTCACAACACCGAAAAACCGCGCGCGCGACACACATTATCTAAGACATCAATCAAAAAAGCACTGTAGCCACTTAGCATCCCTCCTCCTCCACCTCCTCCTCTCTTCCAACGAAACTATCATTTCGGATCACCACCAAACATCGACTCGTCGGCCGACTCGTCGTCGCCGCAAACAAGAGAGACCCAGTAATTAAAAGCAATTTTATTACATGCTCCTCGTCGCGAGTCTCACCTTCATCGATGTCTAGCGCTGCTCTTCTGACCCACATAGCACCCGAAAACAGTGCTGTCGATCGCACACTCCTTGGTAAATAGCGCTCCAACGCCGTCTTAGATCATATTATAATTTCTTCATTAACACCTCCCGCCGTTGACGCACCTTGGATGGATCCTCAGATTCGCATCATCAACTGCACTGACTGTTGCACGACTCTTCACCACGGGGGTATCGATCGGGTATTATTCAATTTTTCTGCTTCGATGCTATAATAATGGCACTGAACAACACCGATTCACATTGTGGCAAAACTGCCCATAAATCGTCGTCGAAAAACCGGGGTTGATTTACGAGGCTCTACACCGTGGCGCTTCCTTCGTAGCTTCCCAATAATGGACCTTTCCATGCGATAAAACACACATTCCCAAAAACAAATCGAACACAATCGGGCGTGGTTTGTTTGAACACCATTCGATCCCGATCCCGAGATTCACTTTCAACGGAACTTCTTCCCGTCCCGTTGCTCTTCCCTTCCTCCGAAGAAGATCTTCCAAAGAATCAAACACTAACACGCAGACCCAGCACGGATGCTGCCTTTGCCTTCCTTCTTTCGGTTCCTTCTCTATCTCGCATGTCAAGACGGCATAAATTTATGCTCGAATCTCACTTTCCGGGACCATCCGTCGTCGTACGGCGTAGTCGTCGTTCTTGGAACCGGCGGCCCTCGCACTACCCGGCCTCCTTTCAGCAGTCTGATCCAGCCAGCAGCGCGCACATTGCACTAATCTCTTCCCGTAATTAAATCATTAGCGCACTGCATACGACGAACGACGTCGACTCGCCACGCTATTAATATCCCGAAACTTAACGCGCCCGCGATGCACTTTGAGTCCCGGACCAACTTCAACGTCGTCGTGACTCAAGGCGTTCTATTTTCGGCCAAATGATCATTCAAATCCGGCAACCGGCTGGCAACCCTATCCTTGCTGAAAGGATTCTCAAAACGCATGCCCCAACGCCATCCCCCTAGTCAAAAACACACGCAAAGCACGCACCGTGGTACAAAGGAGTCATTCGGCTATTCGGAGAGATTAACGACGCAGGATAGGCAGGCACACCTCCAGAGAGTCCTTCCAAAATCAAACCAAACCAAACAACAACGATGCTGGTTTCAACACGCGACGCGCTTCCGTATCCGTTCGGTTGTTTATGCTACGGCGGCGAGCACTGAACTGAAGCGGGAGACGGCCTCGCTGCTAGACGCCGGTATGACGCCCGGAGAGCGAGAAAGAGCGAGCATGTCGTTTTGCCAGAGAAAATCAAGGGAGTTTCGTTAAGTTTCGGATAAAATTCTCCCATCTGGAGCTGGTGTTGTATAGGCGAACGGCGACGGCGACCCGGAAGGATTGCAAGAGAGAACTGCACCATGGTGCATCTTCACCGCCTGCTCAGATGCATCGCGGTAATGGTTGTTGTTTTTATGCTGCTTTGTTTACCTTCTCGGGCATCGAAGCGTTTGTTGGGGTGGGAGCGAGAAACGTTTGGAGCTGGTTTTGTTGCACGGGAGAGTGTTTTGGACAGTGCTGTGTCGCGCAACATTGTTGATGCTTATTCGGGTGACACTCGGAAATCTATCGGTAGAAGCGCATTGGTTAGGTTTGGAAAGGCATGCTTTTTTTAACGTAGGACTACGTCTGTGATTTCTATATGGGGGTACACTTTGTGAAAACCAAAAATTGAACATGTAACATAAAATGAAAGATTTTGAACGTTAATAACTCAGCTGCCCTTGGACTAATTTCAAAAATTTTATCACCAATCGATCAGATATATTTCTACACATCTGTTGAATTTAAGACTTCATCATTTTTTAAATGTCACTATTGAAAATTGCACGAATGTGCAACTGTTGCTTTGATAATTAAAATTATCACTGATTGCCTGCGAAAAGTGATTTCCCTAACACAGATTTCAAAGTTGAATTCCATCTGGTCTCATCAATCACCGCGTGGTGAGTGGTGGTGTTCTCAATCACCCAACGAAAGGCTACCTGCAAGCTGCGAGCTGCAGCCCACATGACCATCCATAAAAGGAGGAAGAAGCTACACAGCTATTGATCGGAATCAGTAGCTCTTCGTGAGTCGCTGTGGGCCATCTATGTCAAGTGAATCATACTAAAGAGTGTAAACAGGGAGAACCCCGCTCAAATTCATATTCCTACAGAAAGCACAAGCTCCTGCTGCAGTTAATAAATATTATTTATTATATAAGACCACGTACTCCTACGTCACCATTGCGTACAACCCCATAGGGCTGTCCCTTGTAGTTTTTTCACGTAGGATTACGTCTTTCGGAAACATATTGAGGGTGCAATCACACAAAAACCAAAATCTACCGCGTTACGAAAAGCGGTCAGGTTTTGACCATTTCTAACTCTGTTAATAGCGGATGGATTTCAATTCTAAGCAAGTCAATCGATTGGAAAATTTTCTACGAATCTGCTAAAATAAACACCATAACAATTTTCAAAAGTTAACTATTGAAAATTACGCAAATGTCCAACTGTTGCAATGGTGATCAAAATTATCAGCACTTTCCCTAACACAGATTTCAAAACAAAATTCCATCCGGTCTCACCGAACGGTGTATATTCAATCACCTTGAGTGATGGTTGCTCTGCAGGATGTGTCAGTGCAACCACCCTGAAAGGTTTTATTAATTTACTTAGAAACTCATAATGATTTAAATTTTAATGAACTTTCTTTGCCACCAAATAATTTGTTTGCATTGAGTGCTGAAGGACATTTTCCAATGATGGTTACTCTACGGATATGTCAAGGCGTCTACCCTGCACTGTTCATTGTGTTAATATAGTTGTTTTTTGGTTTTCTACTTCTTTCTCATCTTATAAAATTTATTTTAAAATTTCGTCATGAATTTTATTTAAAAGTGATTCAAAATTCATTGTTGCTGCTCTATTATGTTAAATTGATTTGAAATACCTGCAGGGTGGTATGGTACAGAGTTACAAAACCAGCCTCCTTGGAGTAGTGGCAGCTGGCCAAATCGGGCCAAAAGATGACTTTGCCCCTATGCTTGCGGATGAACGGCAATACACGCTTTTTCAGGCATTCTTCGATGTAAACTTGGGATGTTATAGTCGAGGATTTGACGAATGGTTCCGTTTTCAGGCCACAACTGCAAATTGCTTGGCAAATCATGGCCTTCTTCGCAAACCTGTCGGAAAACGCGAACTTGAATCTTCCCGGCACATCCCCACGTCCAGTCGCGATGAAAACTTTGGACCGGGAAGCTGCTTAAAATCGAGTTTGACGTATGATTCGTCATCGATCAAAGTGCAGCTGTTCGGATTGGGAAAAACCTATTCCGGAGGAATTGCAGGATAAGTGGCGGTGTTGGTGTGAGTACAAGCAGCGCTTGGAAGAGGTGGCAGTACCGCGATGCTTCTTCAAGGGAGTGAACAGCTCGGCTCTCGAGAACGTCGAGGCACATCTATTCGTAGATGCGAGCGAAGTGGCTTGCGCAGCAGTTTTGTATCTTCGCTTCGTGGACAACGGTTCTCCTCGATGCGCGCTGGTGGTGGCTAAAACAAAAGTCGCTCCGCTGAAATCCCTTTCCGTGCCACGTCTGGAGCTACAAGCGGCGATGATTGGAACAAGACTGCTCGACTCAGTGTTGACTTCGCTGGATTTCCAGGTTAACAAGCGCTTCCTTTGGTCGGATTCATCAACTGTCCTGTGTTGGTTATGATCCGATAGCCGACGGTATCACCAATTTGTGGCCTTTCGAGTGGAAGAGATACTCACATCTACTAGCGTAGATGAGTGGCACCACGTGCCTTCCAAACTGAACATTACTGACGCGGCCACGAAATGGAAAGACGGACCCAGCTTCGATCCAAATAACTCTTGGTATAGTGCGTCTCAGAAGCAGAAGGAAACGGACATCGATTTGCGAGCTGAATTCTTGTTCCATGGATCTACGCCTCAACCGTTGATCGCCGTATCCCGATTCTCGAACTGAAATCGACTCCTGAGAACAACAGCCTACGTTCTACGTGCAGTGCGTAGATTGGGAGGAGAAAAGGAGGTCAAACCCGATATCTTGACGCAGAAGGAGCTGCGTAATGCAGAAAACTTGCTCTGGCGACAGGTACAAGCAGAAATGTATCCTGATGAGTACGCAATTTTGCAACGTAACCAGAAGAACCCCAGAAATCCAGCCTCAATTCCAAATTCCAGTCAGCTATACCGGCTGTCACCAACGTAGATGAGAGCGGTGTCATTCGGATGAATAGTAGGCTCACCGCGGCGTGAGCCGTATCGACAGATATGAAGTACCCGATCCTGTTACCGAAGAAGCACGCTACGGTCCATCTTCTCGTGGAGGACTATCATCGGCGATTCCTGCACGGCAACAGAGAGACTGTTCACAACGAGATGCGTCAACGGTTCCACATACCAGGATTGCGAAATGTGATACGCCAGGTGTGACCTGTCGTGTCGTGTTCCACAACCACCCATGATGGCGCCCCTACCCGAGTTGCGAGTCACAGTACTAGTTCGTCCCTTCACGCACTCTGGAGTGGACTATTTCGGACCGATATAGGTTAAGCAAGGACGCAGTTTGGTGAAGAGGTGGGTGGCGCTATTCACGTGCCTCACGGTTCACGCCATACATGTAGAGTTGGTGCATAGTCTGTCAACTCAGTCCTGCATCATGGCGGTTAGAAGATTCCTGGCTCGTCGAGGTTCCCCGGAGTCCTTCCACAGTTACAACGGAACAAACTTTCTGGAGGCCAGCAACCTGTTGACCAAGGAGATCCAGGATATCCATGAAGACTGCGCGATGACGTTCACCAATTCGGCGACCAGCTGGGAGTTCAACCCACCATCGGCACCTCATATGGGCGGATCGTGGGAGCGCATGGTGCGCTCAATGAAGGTAGCGATGTCAGCTATTGCAGATCATCCTCATCACCCTAGCGACGAAGTACTACAGACGGTAGCCACAGAAGCGGAGGCGATTGTAAATTCCAGGCCGCTCACCTATATACCACTGGAGTCTACGGAGCAAGAGTCTCTAACGCCGAATCATTTCATGCTGTTCGGTACGAAGGGAGTCATTCAACCAGCAACTTCGGTGAACTCAGCTGGGAGCAGCTTGAGGGACAGTTGGCGCCTTGCGCAGCACTTGGTGGACCAGTTCTGGTGTCGATGGATACGCGAGTACTTGCCCACTATTACGAGACGCACCAAGTGGTTCGAACCAGTCAAGCCTCCAGAACCAGGGGATCTCGTGCTCGTCGTCGACGAAGGCAAACGGAACGGTTGGTTAAGAGGACGGATCATGGACGTGACCAAGGCAGCGGATGGACAAGTTCGACGAGCAGTTGTGCAGACGAATAACGGGTTACTCAATAGACCTGCAGTAAAGTTAGCACTTCTGGATACTTGGAGACGGTCCGGAACTTCACGGGCAGGGGGATGTTACGAAGCCGCATGGCTGATTCGGACAACAGTTGGGTGAGTTCGGTACCGCCCGTAGCTGTCAACGCGAAAACTCATAGACGCTGCGCAGCTGATCCCTGGTTCCAGTTTTTTCGTATAGATCCACTGATTCCTTTCCAAACTCAGAGTTTCTTTGTAGGTTTTGAGCACTCTAAAAACTGTTGTTTTCGGCATCTTCAGCACTTTAGCCAGCTTGGAACGGGATTGTAGTAACTGAACCTCACTTGTCCGATAGGTACATAAGAATCCTCTTCATATCTGATAGTTACGCATCGCCTCCTCTGATGATAATCTTTCGGTATTGACAAGATGTATATGTGATAACAGGTGATCTAACATCAATATGCTCCATTCCCTCTTTGATTAAAAAATGCATTTAATTCAACATAAATTTCCATATGATAATTATCAGTACGCAATAAAATCACGATATTTAGTTGGTTGGTGGTTTCTCAATCTTTAAGATTGCAACAGTTCTGGATCTGCAGCTACTGAAGTCAACAATTTATTTTTTGGGGAAGAATTTACCTAATCATTTCCAATGATTCATTATCTGATCTCTCCTCACTTACTTTATCATTTGAACTGGACTGTTCTCCTAGACCATTTATCTTCTAAAAGTGAGCAGAGCTCCTCCTAAAATGCTTTCCTGTAACTGTTGACTGAATAATAGTGTCTGTACCGGTTTTCTTGATAACAATAAATTCTTCATTGGCAAAATCTGTTTCCAACTTATTAGCTTTCCTCACAATCTTCGCTAACACCTTATCTCCTTCTTGCATCTCACTTTCCTAGCCTCTTTTTGTCACTATATAACATCCCATTCTCTTTCACAACTGCATCGCGTTCACGAATACTATCATCTCCTTGATAATTTGCTAAAGTTGGAAGCTTGCCCTTGATTTTTCGACCAAATATAATTTCACCAGGAGACTTTCCAGTTGAGGGATGCTTTGTAGAATGATATGTCAACAAATATTGTCTCAATTCGTTTCTCCAATCAAGAACAAGTTCCTGAGCGATTCGTAGACGTTCCAAAATTGAACGATTTTGACGTTCTACCTCCCCATTTGACTGTGGCCAGTATGGAATGGTGTTCAATATTGTTATTCCGTGCTCCTCACAATATTCTCAAAACTCTTCACAATCACTGCTTAACTGCGGGGCATTGTCAGCTTTTATTGAAATAAGAAGACCGTATCTACCAAACATGATAGACAGCTCTCTTCTCACATCTCCAGCAGTAATACTTGTCATTTCGCACACTTCCATAAACCGACTATAGCAATCTATTACCACTAAAAGATATTGCCCCTCGGACCCAAGATATCCAGTGCTAGGACCTGCCATGGGTTTGACTGCGCTTTAATGGTTCAGGTTTCTCTGGTGCAGCAACAAGGGTGCAACCTCTGCAATTCTTCACGAGTGTCTCCGCATTGGAATCTAATTTTGGCCACCAAATATTCGATCTCAAATGATTTGTCATCATAGCTATGCCTGGATGACCATCATGAGCTGCTGCTAGTACACTGTCCCTAAGACTCTTTGGAATAGCTATTCGATCGCCTCTCAAAAAAACACCTTGTATTTCACAAAGCTCATTTGCCACCACGCGAAATTCAATGGGAAGGTTGTAAATTTTGTTGCTATTCAAAATCTTGATAATTTCTTGAATTTCAGGATCTGACTTTGAAGCATGCTCAGTATCGATCAATTTTAAAGCAGACCACCTTGCAGCATATCCAGCAATTTCTCAGAAAAAGATTTCTTCTGCTGAATCGAAAGGTTTTGGTTCTTGAACAGCAAGCCTGGACAGACTGTAAGCCACATTCTCCTTGCCAGACAAAAAGATTTGATCGTTTTGAGAAAAGAAAGCTTAGAGTGCAGTCAGTATAAATTTCAAAAGATTTTCCGAAAAGGTAGTACCGGAATTGCTCAACGTTCCAGACAATACCAAGCGCCTCCTTTTCTGTCTGAAAATATCGACGTTCAGTTTCGGTTAAGGATTTAGAAGCAAAACTGACTACACGATAAACGGCATTCAAATCAAATTGCACCAGCTACGCTCCCAGGCCTCTGGACTGGCGTCAGATATTACCGCAGTGCGATCTTCTACCCGATAAAATCCCAGCTTTCTTGATGGCACTTATTGCTTTCTTGATCTGGTTGAAAACATTTGCTTGTTCTGGGGACCAATCAAATTTGTTTTGTTTTAGCAGGAGTTTACGTAAGGGCTCATCAATAGTTGCTAGGTTTGGGATGAACATATAGTTAGCCAAACCCAGAAAACTTCGAAGTTGTTCTCCTTCGTTCTGAGGAGGTTCTCGGAACGATAAAATAGCTTGCACTTTGGTTTCAGAAGTACTAATACCATTTGGAGAGATTTTGTGGCCAATAAATTCAAGTTGAGATACTCTGAACACACATTTGCTCCAATTGAGCTCTACATTTCAATTTCAAGAATGCTTTCAAAATTTATTCAGAGAAAAATAAACAGGATTACAATACCTTTTCCAGTCGTTCTACATGTTTTTCTAGATTTTCTCCCTCGATTATAATATCGTTCAAATGCCAGTAGGTTCCATAGCAGCCAGAAAGAATATCGTCCATTACCTTTTGGAATGTTTCTGGGGCTGTAACCAATCCAAAAGGTAAACACTCGAACCTGAACAATCCGCTGTTAGTAATGAACGTCATCACGTCTTTTGATTCTTCTGCCAACTCTACTTGTAGAAACGCCTCGCGTATAACCAGTTTACTCCATATCTTTCCTATACCCAAACGAGCATTGTAATCATCAACCATTGGCATTGGATGATGCTCCCTGAGTATTGCTTCATTCACACGTCGAGGATCAAGGCACAGCCGCGGCTCGCCGTTGGTTTTCCCTACCACCACTAATGGTGCTTAATTTCCTTGTTGAGGCTCCGCCGCCATGAGCCCCTGGGTCTGCCTCTGCTGCGATGTCCTGCCGGATTCCAATCCAGCGCTTGCTTGCAGATTTCGTTTCCGCCCCATTGAAGCGTGTGGCCGACCCACCTCCAACTTTCGCTCTCGAATTTCTGTTGCTATCGGCTTCTGATGACATCGACGATGGAGCTCGGCATTCGAGATTCAGTTGTGAGGCTACCAGGCACGAATTATATACCGCAGGCATCGGTTGATGAAGACCTGCAGCTTTTGAGTGTTCTCCGCTGATACACACCACGTCTCGCTGGCGTATAACAACACAGATTTCACGTTCGAGTTGAAAATTCGGATTTTAGTGCGTTGACTTATCTGGTTGGATCTCCATACGTTTCGTAAACTCGCAAAGGCAGCCCTAGCCTTCTTGATTCGTGCACCTATGTCGCTCTTGGTCCCGCCGTCCGACGCTATTTGGCTGCCAAGATATTGGAAACTTTCGACCTTCTCCACTGCTTGCCCCGCTACCGTAAAGTTGGAAGGGTTGCCCGTGTTGATATCCAACGATTTGGTCTTGTTGACGTTGATGGTGAGACCCGCCGCAGAGGA